ACGAAGGACACTGTACCTGTTGCACTTAGCAGAAAAGGAAACATTTGTCTTAGAATACTTTAAAAGAATGGCTAGAATGGTTAAAACTGAAGTCTTTCAAAGCTAATTAGTTCTGTTCATTGTGAAACACAAGGTTAATATTTTCATCTCTAAAGACTTACAAACTTACTAACAAACCCTTGTTATTACAAGGTCTGCTGTGACGACTAATGTCTTAAGTATGGGCTGAGCATTCCCAACCAGCTCCTAAACATTGGCCAACTGAAGGACCAGTCCTGTGTGTGCATTTTGGAGTTCAACAACATAACTGACTAGTTCATGGATTACAGGATAAAACTTACAAGGAAAGGTTAAAGGATCTTAACATGTAAAGCTTAGCGGAAAGTCGAGACAGTGGGGATATGATAGAAACATTTAAATACATAAATGGAATCAACACAGTAAAAAGGGAGACTATATGTAAAAGAAGAAAAACTACCACAATAAAAGAAAATAGTTTTAAATTAGAGGGGCAAAGGTTTAAAAATAATACCAGGAAGTATTACTTTACTGAGAGGGTAGTTGATGCATGGAATAGCCTTCTAGCTGAATTGGTAGCGTTAACACAGTGAAGGAGTTTAAGCATGCGTGGGATAGGCATAAGGCTGAGATGAGGCCAGGGACTAATGAAAGTATTTAGAAAATTGGGCAGACTAGATGGGCCAAATGGTTCTTATCTGCCATCACATTCTATGATTCTATGTTTCTATGACTGAAGTTTTGAAATGGTAATAAAATATTAAATACTTTATTAAAACAGCTGGTAAGGAATTCCTGCAAAGACACTGTGTTAACTCTAAAAAGCACCAAAACAAATAGAAATTAAATTATTGCACCATTTATAAAGATATAAAAACAGAGGGGCAATGGGTTTTAGAGACATAATAAATCACAAGAAGGTTAAGCTGTTTATAATTGTCCCCAGAACCTCAAGATGCCCTTATTTCCCCGTCAAAATCTACGTCAGTTTTATTTATCTTTTATATCACTTTATGATATTTTAGGTTAGGGCTAGTGTAGCTGTTAGGGTATTGTAGTAATTCATGGTTACTGTTAGGGTGCTGTGAGGCTTAGTATGTTGTGTTTTTTTTGTTTAGTAATAGTGTAATATAATATGTCAGGGTAATGTAGGGTTAGAGGGATAGAGTTTATGTGTAGTGTTTGTTTAAGTTAATGTGGAGGGTTATTGTTTACTGATTGTATGTTAGGATAATGTTGTGGAATAATGTATAGTGTGTTTGAGTAATGTAGAGGTTACTGTGTAGTATAGCCAGTGAAGGTATGTATGGGTTAATAGAAAAACAGAAAATACAGTCAGAGCTAGTGTATCAGAAAGAAGTACATAAGGCAGCAATCCCAAACAAGGACTCCCTCACGTGTCCTTGAAATAAATGAAAAAGGCAAAGTAAAAAAATTAAAGTCCTGATTGAGATAGTGATAATGAAACGGAGTCCAGTATAATGGAACTTAGATCCTATGTTGGTCTCTGGAGTTGTAGATTTCCGCTCCTTGCAGGTATATGAAGGAGGACGATGAGTGATGAAAACGATAGTGGTACAGGGTGATCCAAGAGGTATCCAAATAAAATAAAACAGATTTTACTTACTTTTTGTAGAGCTTAATCCAGCTCTGGTGTGCATAGCTTGCAGTGGTATGATCCCTGCTTGTGGGATATGCAGTGAGTATCCTCTTCGGTGCAGTAACAGCCAGCCAGGGGGAGATAAAACGAAAAACAGTGATGGTGCAGTATGTTCCAAAAATGGATAAAATATATTTAAATATAGTAGATCCACTCACATTTGGTAGAGCTTATACTAGCTCTAGTGTAGTAGGCATACAGCGGTATGATCTCTGCCTCTGGGATATATGGTGAGAGTTCTTTGAGATGATTCTTTGAGATGGTAACAGGAACTCAGGGAAAAGATAATAAAACAGCAATAGTGCTCTCGGTAAAATAATGCGGGTATAAAAAACATAATAAATGACGCGCGTCACATGTCTCGGCTAATATGCCGAAAATTCTCTTAATCAAACCCTCGTTTTTAGAAAATAATTATATATTCTATATCCCATAAGCCATATCTATGGATATCCCATCCTTATGATTGTTTGCCTTTTTCATGTATGGGTTAATATAGTGTTAAAGTAGTTTAGGGGCTTAATGTTTAGTGATTATGTACTGTGTTGGGATAATGACAGGGGTAATCTATAGTATAGTATGTTAGGGTACTGAAGGGGATAAGGGGTGCTTTTACTGTAAGAACATCACTAAAACACCTATATCATGTCCATTTCTTTTTATAAAGTGAGCAATTCTAGAAGCAAATTTATAATTTTATAATTTCCTTTTTCAATTTTGTTGATCTTATTCTCTTGCTCTCTTATTACTCATGGTAACTGTTCATCCAACACAATAAAAAAGGTACATATCTGTAACGTAAACCCACTGCCTCTCTCCAAATCCTCTCGCCAGCCCACATTTAGTTATATTCACCAGTCTGCACTCTTTCACATACTCCCAGTGTGTTAAATACTGTGATTCAGTCACCTTCACCCAGTTTCACACACTGTAACTTATCCCCATATAGTCACATTCACCCCACCAAATACAGCTAACTAGAATCACATTCACCCACCCTGTACATCTTCCCAATCACCCACCTCCCTTACTTACATACCTCCACTATCTACACCTAATAACCTACTTAGTTTAAAAGCTCCATTTACTCAGTAACTTATATTTATCATTCAGTCAAATTCAGTTACACATCCACCAGCTATTTCCTAAATACAATATGCGCAATTCTACATACCCACATTAGGCTCAGTTGCATATTCACAATTTACATATCCAATAACATACACATATTTGTAAGAAACCTTGGGAGATTGGGGTGGGGGGTGGGGAGGGGGGGAGGTAAAGACTTCTTTCAAACTTTTAGGCAAAAATCAGCATCCATGAAGTATAGTGGCATGGATCTGTTTTCAGCTGCTGTCTAGCCTTATTTGGTTTTCATTTTACATTAAGGAATGCTTTATACAAATATTAAATGCAATCTGAATCTATTCACACATATAATGATTTACATCACATTTGCAGTAAGTGAGTGGTTTGTGAAACCATGCAGAACATACTAATTCACTTTGTTTTATAAGTATGTGCTTTATATTGTGCTTATTCATCCTTAATTGTCTACATTTATTACATGGTTTCCGTAATCATGCAAATTCACTACTTAATGACAAAGATGTGCCTGCATGATGGTACTAAGTGCTGCCTGAATTGTAGTGATGCAGGTAATAATGGGGCAATTTTCATTTAGTCACACTAAATATGTTATGAAGTGCCGGTTCATTGGACATAATAATTCTGGATTTCAATACATTTGAGCAAATATAAGCACAGGTTCACATTAATATGTTTCCTTGCATTTCAACATATTTTAAAGAAATGCATCTACAATATAGGATAAGAGAGCATACTTGATGTTAGTGTGCGTATATGTGTGTGTATTACATAATATTTGTAGCATGGTCTGGCTATAATTTTAATTAGAAGTGTTTTACATTTCTGTAATGTGGGGATGGTGATACCATCCATTCACTTCTTTGTAATTAATGAGTAATAATGCATGGATTTTCTCCAAGCAGTTACAGTCGGGGAGCCCAAACCTCATGCAAAACCAGGACATACATGTCCGCTCAAGATTAGTGGGAGATAAACTCAAGAGTATCACCTGTCACTGTTTTATTGATGGCATATGACATAGATGTTGCATGTGACTATAACTGACTAATCTCAAGTAACAAGGGCCATAATACATCCCTTGTAGTAAACTTCCCTTAATTGCTACACCATCCGGAAACATTACACTGCACTAAATATTACCCCTACTTTAACACTATCACTTTAATTCATTTCTATACTACATTAAACATTAACCACAACACTAACTCTAGAAAATAGAACTTGAGATAGATCCAATATAAGAAACAGGGAAATACTTAAAGACTTCTATAATGATACTTCTATAGTAATTAAACCTGCCTTGTTATCCTGTCTAAAGAACAATACGAAAAAGATGGCTCTATGATTCAAGAACAAATAGATTTTTTTTAATTGAAGTCATAGATATGATTTTAAATAATAATTTCTTGTTTAATTAAAGATGGTTTTTATTTACAAAAAACAGGGATGGCTATGGGCACCAGGTTTGCACCCAGCCAATCTCTATATGGCAGAATGGGAAGAACGCTACATCTGGGAGGGGCATGGCTGGGTGGAAAGCGTGGTGTCTTACTTGAGATATATTGATGATCTATTTATTTGGAGGGAATCTACCTCATCTGCAAAGGATTTTATAGCCTTTTTAAATTCAAACAGCGAAGGTATGTTTTTAACTGCAGATTTTAGTAAATTAGTCACCTATTCAGACCTAAACATCTACATAAAGGATTACAAAATAAATATGAAAACACACTTTGAAGATGTACATGTGAACAACTATATAGATACAAAAAGTTGCCATAACCATATTTGGCTAAAACGTATACCTAGAAGCCAGATGTTGAGGCTAAGAAGAAATTGCTCTGAGTCCCCTATTTTTAAAAAATAAGGGAATATTGTAAAGAAACGTTTTACACAAAAATGTTATGAAGACAAAGGAATAGTCTACTCAAACACTACTGCTCAATAGACAATAACTTATACACAAAGAAAAAAACACAAAGAAACCAAAATTTCTCTCTGCCTATTATACTTGACTATAATAACAAAAACAAACAACTTAAACAAATTCTAAACAGGCACTTCTTAAAAGAAGATGACATTTTAAAAAATATAATTCCAGAAAGGCCAAAAATTTGGAATCACTCTGTCTCCGCCCACTTTTGCATGCATGAAAATAATTCTAAAAACCTCACTTTCATTGGTATAAAAATTGTACAAAACCATTGGAGAGGCCATTTGGATGCAGTGTATCCATATTGTAAACCCACTCCATTTCTGTTTTGCCTATCTTTTTAATAAAATCTCCTATTTTATTAAAAAGATAGGCAAAACAGAAATGGAGTGGGTTTACAATATGGATACACTGCATCCAAATGGCCTCAGTTCAGAATTCGATTTATATAATTATTTATAACATGTTTGATTTTTACTATTTTTTTATCCGCTTTCTATTTATACCCCTTTTTTTACACTTTTTACTCATGTATTTTTATATTAATTTTATATTTACAATATATTATATATATTTTTTTGTATTTTTAATATATATATATATATATATATATATATATATATATTTAATATATTGTCCAATTTTTATTAATATAGAGATACATAAACTCTCTTCCATATATGTTGCCCTTATACATCTTTCCCTTTTCTTGCCCATTTGCAATATGGCCGCCCAACTACTTCAGAGATCACCACAACAATAGATATCCTCGCGTCATGTAACTTCCTCCGTGACTCAACACCCCCATGCAACGGCCTGGACTGCAACAATTACCTCTTTCAGAGGTAGAACTCACATCACGTAATAAACATCTTTTATTATCCCTCTGTGGACAAATACTGCATGCTTACTTGAAAGGAAATGCAGCGTCCACATCATGGCGACGTGTGCATTCCACAATGAAACGCTTAAGCTAATTAGCCAATACCATACACAGAACACGCTGCGGTGTGATGCGTTCGTTCCACAATGGTTACAAAATACCGGAAACCATCATCACCTGAAAGCAATCTTCATTAACAGATATCCTATATAAACAGAACACTGAGGACCTCACCACACTTCTGAAGAAGCCCTTTTGAGTGGTGAAACGCGTCAAGTGGGACGCCTTTTAAATATTCATATACTGTTTTATTACTTTTGTTTGGCAAATTAAAGTTTATTTAAATTACTTTTATTTGCATCAACCAACTTCTTCCTGGTACCAACACATCTTAGGTGGGGATTATACCACCCATGCTGGTTATACTAGAGCAAGTTCTGCTCCAACAAATGTGAGTTCATCATCTTACCTATTTATTCTATTTCTCTACTTGTACTGACTTCACCATTGGAGTTTGTTTTTACATTTGCCTCCACATATACCTTGCACATTGCACTTTACTTGAAGAACCTGGGTTTAACATACCAACATATATCCTTAGACGGGGATTGTTCAGTCCATGTGAAAAAACAGCAGAGCTCTGAGCTAGCTCATAAGAATGTGAGTGGTAGCGACATTTTATTATCCATCACTTATATATCACATTTACTGTATTGCACTATTATTATTTTTTTGGTGACATCATCAGAATTGCTGATTTTTAACCAATCCAATGCTTTCCCATAGGGAAAAAAGTCGACAGGGAGGCAGGGCCAAATGCAGTTTTGGCCAATCAGCACCTTCTTCTAGAGATGCATTGAATCAATACAACCCTAACAGAAAACAGGTAGAACAGTTTTGCCCTGCATATGCCCATGTTTATTATTGTTCTTATTAAATTGTAATGTTATGGAATGCAGTCATATGAGCATTTATGGCAGAATGCATTTTATTACAAACAACTAGTGACTACAGAAACTAGTATCATATTTGGTAGGCAACATATTTAGGCGTATGAATTCTGTAAGTTCTTTTAACCTTTTTTATCATTCTAAGTGCCATGGGTACTCAGTTATGTTTATTTTTGTTGTTCTCAAATGTCCCAACTCAAGATCCATCATGGAATGTGATGCCCAACCACAGAAAATCCAGACTTACACTAGCTAAAGGAGACCATTTTCTAATTACTACAAAGAAGATTTATGATGGTCTAGTGTAAATGATGCAGCTTAATTTAAAATTGCTGCTGTTCTGCATAGGCCTCAACCCTCTCAGTCAGATATTCATAAAGAGTGGAATACTAGTAAAGGTCCAAAATTAGAGCTGCCATTACCCACCTCCTCTACATGGACAACATAAAGCTGTATGTCAAGAATGTGCCTCTAGTCTGTAGCTTGTTCGAGCAGGGTCATTAGACTATTCTTCCTGTCAAAATCTGTAATAATTTGCCTAATTTCTTGGTTAAGTCCTTAATAATATTGTAAAGTGCTGTGGAATTTATTGTGATAATAGTAATGAGGGAAAAAAATAATCCAGGCACTCAAGTGTGAAATCCGCAGGCAGATTTTAATGGAGCAAAAAGAGCAGCAACTTTTCGACCTTTACAGAGGTATTTGTCAAGCTAACACCACAAACCAAACATAAGTGCATATATAGCAAAAAAATACCACAAGAAATTAAACAATAATTCACTTAAGTTCAAATAATTAACACAAATTGATAAATACAAAACAGTACAAATCATGCATAATATATCTATAGATCCACCAAATTAGGTAATCCATAACTTACCCCTATGTGCCAAAAGGGGGGAGGGACCACAATAAGGAAAGTAGAAATGAAACATAAATAGATAAAAAATAAATAATAAATAAAAAGATTGCATTGTGTAAACGCTGGTAGGAGCGCAGAAAGATAATTTCCGGTAAGTTGATATGTGACGGGGCGTCTGGAACGCAGAAGTCCCGCCCCTTCTACGGATACAAACAAGTGCCAATTCAAATGTCAATTCAAATGTCCGTTTGTGCGTCCAAATGCACGAACAGACAAGCGCACAAACTGGCTATGGGACAATAGGGAAAGCTGACCGCTCATGAGCTACATCAAACGAACAGCTCCCCACAAAGCCGCCGCACAGGCGCACGAACGGCATATTCTCTTCTTTCTCCATTACCCAGATTTTTGGATAACATCTTGAGAACTTTTTTTATTAATATCCAATCATATGTAAGGGATACCACTGAGGTGTTGTTGAAACTTGAGGAGGTAACAACTACTGACACTCTGATCCTTGTCACCTTTGATGTAACAAGTTTGTATACATCTATTGAACATAGTGCAGGCCTTGCCACAGCTAGAGCAGCCCAGGTAACATTGAGATTTAAGGATGATGTTCTTAGCTTTCTGATGACACTTTTGGAAATGGTCATGAAAGATAACTAATTTCTTTTTCAGGACCCTTTTTTACTTCAGCTAAGGGGTACATCGATGGGCTCCAATGTGGCACCCACATACGCCAGTATTTTTATGTCAGAGTTGGAGGAGAAATTAATTTATCCTCACAATTTATTTATACAATTTGCCACCAGGTGGTGGTGCTACATTGATGATATACTGGTGTTGTGGAGTGGCACATTGGAGTCCCTTGAAAAATGTTATACTTTTTTGAACATGTGCTCTGACAGCATTAAGTTCACAATGACTTATGATTTGGTTGAATTACCCTTTTTGGATATTCTGATTAGGAAGCATGAGGGTAGATTAGTCACTGATCTCTACAGAAAAGAAATGGATAGGAACACATTGCTTATTATTTCTAGTGCACATCCTGCAGCTATTTTTAAAGCCCTCCCTAAGAGTCAGTATACTAGAGTGAGAAGACTGGTATCTGATTCGTATCTAGTTGAGAAACGCCTTAGAGAGATGACTGTCAGATTTGTTGAACGTGGTTACCCTGTGACATTACTCAATAATCAACTTGATCAAGTGAAAGATCAAGATAGGGAACATTTTCTACATCCCCATAGATCAGAGCGGAATGAGAACAGGTTGAAATTTTTGTAGGATTATATATAGGCTTTGGCATGTTTGTACTGACTGTCATCCTAATATTGTTGAATTTGCGCAGAACCCTATGTTTGCATTTAAGAGAGGCACTTCTTTAAAGGACAAGTTGGTCAAAACTCTTGTCACTAAGGTGGATGCTGCGACTACTGTTAAACCAGGTAATTTCCCATGCTACAATTGTGTATCTTGCCATTTTATGATACGTGGTGATGTTATACATCACCCTTTGAGTGGCAACAAATATTTGATCAAACAATTTCTGACGTGCAACTCTGATTTTGTGATTTATGCACTAAAGTGCCCATGTGGTCGTTTGTACGTGGGACAAACCAGTCAAAATTTCAAAATGAGGTTTTCCAAACATAAGTCCACAATGCGCACTGGACTGACTGATTTACCTCTTCCTGCGCACTTTTTGGAAGCTGGACATGGTGTTTTTTCAATGAAGGTTCCAGATTTTAGAAAAAGTTTTGGAATCACCAAGGAAGGGTGATAGGAATAAGAGATTATTATTACGTGAAGCTTATTGGATTCAGGAACTGGATACTCTATATCCTAAAAGTTTAAATCATGAATATGATTTGTCTTTGCTTATTTAATTAATGGTTGCTTTTATTGTTTTTATGATAATCGGCTATATGTAGCCTAATCTATATGTCTTCTGTATTTTACAGATTTCCGGGTCAAAATTTGGTGCTATTTTTCTTTCACCCTAATCTTTTGTTTTGAGCATTCTGGATCTATTTTGAGACTACTCTGACTTGGACACAATACGAGATTTGTCTTTTTACACTATAAGTATTTAATTATTTGTAATGATACTTATAATACACTTTATAGATAACATAAAACACTTTATATAACACTTTTTTGAATACAATTTTTAATATATGTGACTATACTTACACTTGGTCAATTTATACACATTGTTCAACACTTATTCACTTTATACCCATATGTGCACTTTATTTAATCTTGTCTATTATGTAAGCTGCATTATGATATTTTTTTTGCACTTGCACTTTAGTATGTGGACTTTATGTTCACTTAGCGGTATTTGTTCATTCTTTTATAATTTATTCACTATCTTGTAAGGCGATTTATGCACAGAGTAATGAACTCCACACTTTATTCATATTATGTTTTTTATAGATACAGATATTGTGATTTTTAATGAATATATTATTGACTGTCACTGGTCCATCTGATTGTCCCTTATTTTTTGATAACTTTTGATTCAGATTCCGTGTTAGCTCTATTCAATTTCACTGATGTTCATAATGTACTGTAGAATTATTTATTCTATAGATTATACATGTAATTATTATGTACTGTTTATTGTCCCTCTTTGTGCCTTGGTAGGAGATTGACCTCTTGTTTTCTCTCATCTCTTATTTTTTGTTTATTTATTCATTATTCATTTTTATATTTATTTT